TTAATACGTAGATTGAGAGCCAGAAAAAGATTTTTTCCACACTTTGAAAGATAAAATTCGATGACTTTTAATTAAAATATTGATTACCGATATTTTTAATTAATACAAAGAAATAATTTGAAGTAATATTGGTTGCATATTACTAACATAAACTTATTAAAATGATGTATGAAAAGATATAATCCTAATTAAATATCTAAAAGAAAAATTATTGTAACTCAAACAATTAAATAACGGTATAAATATGTATTAATTTTGTCTCTATTTGTATTTATTTATATCGATTGATTTAGGTCGTTGGTAGTTTTTTTAGTTATGAGCTTTTTTAGTTAGTTTATTCAGTTTGGTTAATAATTGTTTCTTAATATGTATTTTTATTTTTAAGTTAAATTTAACAGTGGGTAAAAAGAACCCTCTGGCAAAGGTGTAATCTATAACAAAATAGTAAATAAAAAAATAAATTATTTTAAAAAAAGCAATTTTACAAGAGATAAATTAAATTAATAGTTACTCCAACTCTGGTGATGAATATTTCTGACGAAATACAAATAAGTAGGTTATATAATACCTATAAGGTTATATACCTTTATAAGAATTGGTTGAATAATGTAGCTTTTATATTGTAATATTCTTTTAAATTGAAAATAAGACATTGGAAATTTTCTTCTCTTAGCTGTCTCTTTTTACCTAGCCTAGGGGGCAAAAAGAACCATATTATAAATTTTAGAAAAGTAGTAAAAAAACACATCACTGCAATTTGGAATTAACTAAGGATTTTACTGAACATATTTCGATAGATGTGATAAAGTTTATTTGATTTAGACAGTATAATTATTGAAAGTCAAATTGGACCTTTATGCTCTGCTTTACCCTACTATATAATAGGGCTAAAATTCAAAATCCAAAGAATCATCTGAAACGCTCAATATTAGAGATACATTTAGTATTGCTATTTTACATGTTAATAATGTAAATGTAGGTAATTTCAATTACTATAATACTCCAAATTTTTAAATACGAAATTGTCGTTGAAATTTGCAAAAAATATTTCATAAAGGTATGCAATGTTATCTTCAGGTTACATGATAATATATATTGTTGAACATGTAAGTTCGAAAGCAAAATAATACTATAAAAAATAGTTATTAATTAAGTGTCTAGAGTATGAGATATTAATTCATTATTAAGTGTCTAGAGATACGATTGGAATACTACTCCCTGCATAACTAGTGGTGCAGGGCATCGTGCTTTAAGGCAAAATACTGAAACTCCCCGTACCGAAAATTAAAATTGGACAATTAGATTTTCGAGAATGTTGAAATTTCTTAGAAACTGTGAACCGTTTCTCAAAGCGCTGAGTTAGCTGCGCAGAGACAAAATATCAAAGCGCGGAAACGCCGCGTCACATACTTACAGATGAATAATAGTACGAAACACATAGAAATGTAAACAAAATTGGTTCTGATTATTAAAATCTCTATAAAATATCTGATAATTTGATGTGCATATGTCTAATGATCATTTTTAACCGCCAAATGGCATTTTTATTTTACTTTATATTTTGTCTCCCCGAAACCTCTAGACCTGCATTTCTAAAAATTGTATCAGCTCTTTATTTTGTTAATACAAATAAATGTTTTTTCAAGCAATCAAATCGTTTGCTTTGTTATCTCAAAAATTAAATTAATATTCTTAGCACTTGGTGAGGATCACTATGATTAATTTGACTGTAATTTATAAATATTCCATCACCATAAGATATGTGAATAAAACCACTATTTAGATTATGATATATATTGAACTTTACTGCACAACCTTCTTTTCTCGTTACATTTGCTAGTCTCTCTCAATTATTATAAGTTACAGGTATTTATACTCATACCATTGTATCCCCTACCCCAAAGGGTCCCAGATTAAATAGAAAAGCTCTGGTCCAATCTTGACCAGCACTTTTTGTCCCCTTTGCCAAAATTAATCAGCATGTCATCTTATCAATAGGAATCGAATGTTTTTTGAATTATCGAAATTGGTTGATTCGTATTTGTGAAATCGTGGACGAAAAATTTTATCCAAACATACATACACACACATCCATTTTTTTCTTAGGTATGCCAAAATGTTCAGAAACCTCTGAAAGGTAAAGATATGCAGAAGTTTTCATTTTCGATTTTTTCCAATTACTGTAACTTACCCTACGAAAAGTTAATAAAATTTACTATATCCATGTATGTGCAATAGTACTATAAATATTTCAAAATCAACTATGCAAAGTTCTATGAATTCTTACAAAAGTACTATTCGTTGCCTAAGTTATAAATTTGTTATAAATGATAGCATTGTTTAACACAAATATTTACACCAGACCTCCGTCTACTAATTCACCGACTGATCGGCTGATTCGCTGTAATCATCGTGCTCGAGTTGTTCGTTCCTCTGAGTCGCCCCATCGTCGTCCCTGCTGATTGATTCGATGTCGTTTTATATCAATCTGTATCAGTCTCTGTATATATTTCCTAAATGAACGCGACAGTGGGACGTAGTACCTTTGTTCTAATCGCTATTTGCAATTTCCCGAAACTATGTTAATCGGATTAAGGCACTAAATGGCACGACAGGCCCCCTACGCGTTCGTTGTTCGTTTGATTCTAACTGATTGGACATTGTGCGCCTCCGAAAGCAATTTCTCTGCTCTCTGTGACGCAGTAAGTACCTGAGTAATATTCTGGGAAAACAGTTCGTTACGGGCTGAACTATATTGGAATTGAGCAATTTTTAGAATTTAATTAGACGGAGTTCATTTAATAGAACTGATTGGGCGATTTTAATACGTTTATATTTGAGCTCGGAACAGACGTGGAATATATGCAAAATATATACAAATTGCATTGTAGAGGAATAGTACTTTTGTAAGAATTCATAGAGTTTTGCATAGTTAATTTTGAAATATTTAAAATACTATCGCGCATAAATAATGGATTCAGTAAATTTCATTTAGTCAGTTAAATTTAGATATTGCCTGTGTCAACCATAATGATTAGAACATACGTAAAACAGCACTGCAAATATAAGAAACTAGTGGTGTATGGCCATACCAAAAATATATTTTTTTTAAAAAGATTAATTTTTTTGAAACTTTGATGTTTTTTATATTTTGAAATATTTTGGAAATTTTGTGCTTTTTTTTCAAAGCAATGGGGTTGCTTTAGCTGCATAGAGTCGCAGTCTCTAACGGAAAACGATGTTACAGAACCTATAGAAATGCGAAAAAAAATTATACGTAATATTAAAATCTCTGATAATTTGATGAGCATATGTCTAAAGATCATTTTTGACCACCAAATGGCATTTTTTTTTACTAGATCTCCGAAACTGCTCGAACTGCCTTCCCAAACATTTGATCAGTTCTTCATCTTGTCAATACAAGTAATAAGTTTTTTGAATTATTAAAATCGGATGCTTCGTTCTCTTAAAAACTGTGTTACCGTTTTTGGAACTTTTTGACCCGTATCTTCGAAACGGCTGGACTAACTTTGTCGAGTCGAATGTTATTTGAATTATTCAAATTGGTTGATTCTAAGGTATGCCAAAATGTTTAGAGACCTCTGAAACGTGAAGATAATAAAAATTTTCAATTTCGTTTTTTTGCGATTACTGTAACTTAAGAAAATTAAATATAAGGCAATAAAATTTATGTGCTTATTGATGGTCAATAGAAAATTTATAATTTGTTTTTTGAAAATTTGTTTAACCAAAATATTCACTATTATTTTATATTACTTATCATTATTTAATAATTATTTATTGCATAAATATATGTAATTTCATTACTATCATATTCGTATATGTGAACATAAACAACGCTATATTAGAATGATATAATACGTTAAATTATAATTAATTAATTCACTTATTATAAATCATTAAAAAGTACTTCGTATGGCTTCAAAATATGTAAAAATTATTTTGATCAGATAAAATGAATTATTATAATGTTTTAGGTAAAAATATTAATTGATAATTTTTGAAGTTCACATAATGCATGAAAAAAACATGTAAATCTATCATATCAAACTTATTAGAGAATGCTTTCTGTATAAAAATCACAAAAATAACCATTTTTGTTATCCTGGAGAACCTCAGGTTTAATCTTTTGGGATTTTGATGAAACTTTGAACGGGATAAAGTTAATAGTCAAACCACAAACTTTAAAATAAAATAGGCCTATTATTAAACCGTTTTTTATAGGCCTATAATATTTTAAGATGCTCGGTTTGACTATAATCTCTATCGCCATGCAAAGTTTCCTCAAAGTCCCAGAAGAGTGGACCTGAAGTTCTCTTTGTAAATTTGCATATCATGAAAATTTTGCCAATATTTGTGTTTTTTCTATTTTTTATTTTTCTTATTATTTCTATTGTACATTATTATAAATACTTCGTTTTATAGCTATTTATTATATTTTTTAATATTCGTGTATATGTAATATTTTCAGTCTAGTTTATTTTTTATTTGCAATATGAGTGTTACAGAAAATTACTCTTTGTAGGTGTACCATGATTGGTTTATTTTTCAAAATTTTTATAAAAAATTAACAGTTTATTATATTTAATGATTAATAGTTGATTAATTAATTTAGTTTTGAAAAATATAGAAAGCTTTCGTTTATACTCGGACCATCGGTATATGTAAAAATAGAGAGAGCATTATTAATATGAGATATATATTTATATGTATATATATTCTACTTTAGTCTATTACAGACCTTCTTTATTATTATACATGTAGGACAACATTTTCATAAATATAAACACTGATGAAATAAAAATATATGATAAACATAACTTTTTATTACAGGATAAAAGCCACACACTCATCGCTTTCCTTTCTCAATATATTTTTATTTTTATTATTCGATATGACTATTTACCGTGTAGTTTTAGCATTATAATAAAGCATTTATATATTATGCAAAATAAAACTTTTTTATGTATTTTTTTCAGGCAAAGCTAGAGACCAAAGCACTGAAAGCAAAAAGACCAGGATTTACAGATGATAGATATAATGAAACGTCGTACTATATCGAGAATGGTGAGTTGATTTTGACTGTTATTTTTATATTAATTGTGACAGATAAGTATTCAGAAATGCAAATTGTCTTCGGCAAACGTCACAACATTGACGTTTTTCAAATGAAATTAATACAAATTTATGTATTTTTTTGAAAGCACCTAATTCAATTTAATTCTGATAGATTAGTAGTAATGTTATTTCATTAATATTAATTATCTGCTTAAATAGCATTCAGCAAAAAATACTATATTTCTTTATTGACTTTATAATGCATTATGTAACATTTCCATTGCATCTTTATGAGGATCTGACCTAATTTTTATTTAATAGTCTATTTCATTTTATATTCTGCGAAAAGATGTAGAATCATTTTTCTATTCTTGCACAATTTATATTTCATAAAGCTTCACACATTCCCTGGCTTTCCATAATGAATACTTTTGCATGTCATGCCAACCAGGTAAAATGTGTAGAGTAGGAGCTTATAAGACTATTTTATATTGACTAAACAATTTTTTAAAAAAATAGGCATATTTAATAAAGTAAAATTGTAATTAAAATTAAATATACTGTATTCTGTTCTATAATATATATAATCTTATTGTTGAATTTAATAATTATATCTTATAAGATTTATTTTGATTAAATAATATTACATAAAGTCTGCATTCACACCAAAATAATATAAATAAATTTACGATATGAGCTTCCACTATTATCGCATCACGTGAAAACTTATTGGCAGATCTTATCTAAGAAAATGATTTCCATTTGCTAGCTTCATCCTTTTTCTGCGTACTTATTTAAAATTGAAATTGATTGATTTTATTGAAATATTTTTGTATATTGATGATTGATCGTTATTTTCAATAAAATTATATCAATGCAAAATCTATCTTCAGTTATTTTAATTAAATTTATAAATGTAAAAATACATTTTTATTATTTAAATTAATAATTTATTAATAAGACATATTACGTATTGTTAGCATATGGGCACACTATGTTTTGCAATTGAATTTTATTACGTTTATTTTCCTTGTGAGACAAAATAGTCGTTAAATAGTAAAAACCTCAAAAAAATTTTTGAAGCCTCTAAAGCAGACTCCCCCTTAAGTTATTTTTTGTCAGAGTTAACAGTTAATTCAGTATATTTTAAATGTAAACTAAATTTAGAAAATTGATGATCCGATTTATGCTGAAAACCAGGAGTATTCTTGCTTAAATTCAATTCTTGAGTTATTAAAGTGTACGAAATATTTATGCTATGCACTCTATTTATCTATTTTTTTTAATTGTTAGAATTAAAATACTTCACGTATAAATTACTTTAGCAATTATTGAACTCCAAACTTATATTTCCATGTCTGAAAACAATCAATAATAATTCTCGAAATTAAGCATATTATTCAGGAAATAGTTACTATCTTCCTATATCATTATATCGACGTTAGCAGAATTTAAGCTTATTACTGTGCTACAACATCTTAGTAATTGGCATTTAGAATTCTCAGTAACATTATATCTAGGTAGCACATATTAATAGTTCAATTTAATGATGTAAAGACAATTCGAATTGTCTACTGATTTATATTAATTGCTTGTAATGACTAAAACAACGAGTAGTTTGGCAACGAATAACGAAACCAGTTTATAATGAATAGTAATGGTTATTGAAATATAATAAAGATAGTTAGAAAAAGATTCTAATGCGTTATGGATACTGTGAAAAATAACAAAAATATGAAAGTGATAATTAAATAAGGTATTTATCATAGAACTCAAAGGTAGTAAATGAATAAAAATAGTCTGGTGGACTGAGCTGGAGGAGAGACCACTTAAGGAACATGTTTTTAATTAGTTGTGTGTTTGGAATTGCGCCTTATGGCAAATTGCTGGAACTTCCCGTGAAATATTCGAGGAATATTAATTGTTTTCGTATTATTTTAAATTATGTAACTCTCATTATTCTTCTTTTATCAAGAGTAAACCAAAAAAATTTAGTCAGTCGGATTTAAAATGAAGAACATTGTCTAATATTTCTAAGTATTATATGAACTGAATTGCAAAGTTAAAATTATTTATTTGAAGTATATAAGTGTTATGTAGAACTTTAGCTAGAATTAGAATTAAAATTCGAATTATTTTTTTATATACAATTTTTTTTTGAAAATTAAAAAAATAAAATAAAAAAAATAGAAAAAGCAATCGTTTCGTTAACAGAAGCAGAATGGTCTTTAAATCATTCAAATGGGATGTTTAGTTTTCCCAAAAACTGCCATTTTTTGCACATTTTGCTCTATATCTCCGAAACAGCTAGAACTGCTTTTGCCAAAATCTAATCACCACTTTTCCTCATCATTACGAATTTAATGTATTTGGATCATTCAAATCGGTTGATCAGTTCTCTTGAAGACTGGCATTTTTAGCACTTTTTGCTCCATATCTCCGAAGCCGCTGAAAATGTATTCGTCATAAACTAATCAACACGTCTCCTCATCAATAGGAATCGAATAATTTCTGAACTATTCAAATCGGAAAATCCATACGCCCGAAATCGTCGACGAACACACACACTAACACCAAACACTCCTTGAGGTATGCCAAAATGTTCAGAAACCTTTAAAACGTGAAGATATACAAAAATTTTCATTTTTGATTTTTGGGACCTTACTATAACTTACACTACGTGAAGTTAAAAAATAATATATTTGGCTAAAAGTTTACTAACGATAATAAATTATTCATTGAATTAGGTTTATTAGCTAGTTGAATAGCAAATTTTTTGTCAAATTACATTGGAAGAATTTGGAACTTAAATTACATTGAAATATTATCAGTAAGCAATCGTTATGATGTTTCCCATAGAGAGAGTAAGTTATAAGTAATCGCAAAAAATCGAAAATGAGAATTTGTATATGTCTTACGTTTCAAAGGTTTGTGAATATTTTGGCATACCTTGGAAAAAATGGATGTATGCGTGTGTGTGTAAGTTTGAATGTGTGTGTGTGCGGGTACAAATTTTTGTCAATTTCGGGAACACCGATCAACCGATTCGAATATTTCAAAAAACATTCGATTCGTATTGATAAGGAGCCGTGCTAGTTTTTGGCGAAGCCAGGTCTAGCCGTTCCGAAGATACGTTTAAAATTAAACAATAGAACAATTCCTTTAACAATATTTAGCACTATAGCAACTCGGTATACTCTAGAAAGTATCTAAAAATAGACTATTCACTTGTGGTGCTTATAGTGGTGGCTTGCGTGCATTTATTTATTGCAACTCTTGTATCTTTTGAACTATTCGATTAATATGAATGATGGTTTTGACAAATTTATTCAAAATTGAATAATTTAACAGTCTTTCTAACAAAGTGGTGATCTAGACCTACTCGGTATACTCTAAAAAGCTTCTGAAAATAAACTAGTTTTTTTGTTAATAAAGAAACTCGAGAACAGTTGTTAAGAAAACAGAGCGTCCGATTTTAATAATTCAAAAAACATTTTACTTGCATTGACAAGATGAACAACGGATTAAATTTTTGGAAAGACAGGTCCAGTGGTTATGGAATCTCAATAAAAATAAGTTAAAAAAATATCATATGGCTGTCAAAAATGTTTATTGGACATATGTACATCAAATTATCAGATATTTTATAGAGATTTTAAAAATGTGTACACATTTTGTGTAAATTTTTTTCGTTTCCATACCAAGATTTTTAGTTACGGTACGGGAAGTTTCAGCAATTAGCCTTAAGGCACAATGTCATGCATCCCACTAGTTTTCGAAGAATTTTGTCGCGTTTTAATAAATATGTTAAAAATTTAATCAATTCTGTAGGTTTAAATTATTGTTAACATTTAAATTTTTAAGTCTTATTAATTCTAATTTTTATTAAAGCATATTACCACTTACACCTTGCAAGCATTTTATTTCAAATATTTAATATAAGGCATATTAAAGCACTGAATTTTTAAACTTGCACATGGTGCCACACATACATCATAGTCGCCTCCCCGAGAACTTAATTCAAATATATTTTTCGCGCGTTTCTAATCTCTGTACTTTCTATTCCCTCAGGTCTGCGGAAGGTCTACCCTTACTATTTTACATTCACGACGTTCACGAAAGGGCGTTGGGTCGGCGAGAGGATTTTGGACGTGTTTTCTCGCGAATTCAGGGCTCATCCCGCCGAGGAGTACGAGCGATGCATCACAGCCGGAACTCTGACCGTCAATTATGAAAAAGTATCCACGGATTATAGGCTCAAACATAACGACTTACTGGCCAACATAGTACACAGGTGAAATTTTGATTTTGAGAATTTTTTTTTTTTTTTATTCACCATTCAAATTACAATCTGTCTTAGTGAAGACATTTAGTAATTGGTATGTTATAATATATGGTTTATTTAGAAAGATTACCAAATGGTAATTCATTTGAAATATAAATGATCATATAAATTGAAAAAGATGATGTTTAGTTATTATTAATTTAATGTGTTTAAGTTTAAATTTGGCAAAGGTAAATTCCGGTTTAGTTGTCTCTGATTTTGATGAAACTTTGCATGAGAGTTGGTGGTCAAATATAGCTTCTTGATATATTATAGGCCCATAGGAAATATTTTAATATATTTAATAATATTTATTTACAAAAATATATTATTATTCCGAAAAAAAATATTTTGAAATACTACTCATATTAATTTTTATTACTAAGTCCAATGATGCTTTTGTTGCATCAACAATTAATACTATGACTTAAAATTTGTGTAATTTTTTTTTCAAGAAAGTGTACCTAGTTTTATATTTATTTTACACATTAGAGCGTACCTAGTTTTATATTTATTTTAAACAAAAATAAATAGAGTATTGGTGAGGAAAGAACTTACTTCAAGTTTTTTGGGTTGTTAGATTCTTTAAGGCTTCCCCTGCTTTAGAGGCTCAAAAATCGATTTTCTTTTTTTGAAAAAAATAATCTTGTTGAAAAAAATATCTTCCAAAACTAGCCAAGAATATATACCTTTAAATTTCATAAACAAATTCAAATTATTTTTGAAACTACAGAAATGAGCAACCGTCAAGCATGTATACGACCGGAACGAAAACTTCGACGTGCGATTTCTCGGTTTTTAATTTTTTTGATTCTTTCTAATTGGCGGGAAAGATAGGGAAAAACTAGGCGTCCTATTGAAACGAAACAAAATTCATTGTATTCAGGATTAAATTCTATTCTAGTTGAACGTAGAAAAACTTGAAAAAAGTTATAATTGTTCCAATTTTCAAACAATCTAAAGTGAAAATTTGAATTAAAAAACATGATATTTTTTCAAGTTGCGAAAAATTGGTGAATTTCTCGTTTTTTCTGGATTTTTTAGATTCAACAAGAATCTATGCTATTGAAAATTTTTATTTGTTTTGATCTTTTTGTTTCGGATGGAAATTGTGACCTGCATCTTTCATGCCAAATGACATCTGCAAGCTTGTGGTCCATCGGAAAAATGCTTGTACCGTTGAGAAGAATGTTGAAATATATAACAACATAACCTGAAAGTTTCGTTTCAATTAAATCTTTATTTTCTTCCCTAAAAAATCCTCAAAAAAAGCGATTTTTTGAAGCCTCTGAAGCAGACTCCCCCTTAAGTTATTTATTGTCAGAGTTAACAGTTATTTCTGTATATACTAAATGTAAACTAATTTTAGAAAATTACTGTTGCGATTCATGATGAAAATCAGAAGTATTTTTTCCTAAAATCTGATCTATTAAATTGTACGAACTATTTATTATATGCACTCTATTTATCTAACTTTTTTTATTGTTAGAATTAAAATACTTCACGCAGGCCTATAATAAATATTTAAGATATATCGTCTTGACTATTGGCGCCATATTACTATGCGAAATATCATCAAAATCTATGACAACTTTGAGGTTTTCCCTGTTAGTTATATCAAGAAACTTTTTATTGTATGCGAATATTATAGAGGTTTTAAAACTTGGTATTTTTTCAGAAATTCAACTATTTGGTATCATAATTTATGATATTTACAGATTATACAAATTATAAATTTATAAAATTATTTTGCTTTAAGATGTTTACAATTTTTGTAAAAACTTGTTTACAATAGACGACGTATTATGCTTTTGTACAATCGGTTTTTATGTTAATTAATAAATATACATTGATAATTAAATTTATAGGGATGAAATTAAATTAAATGTAATCAACAATAAATAAATATTAATAATTTTGAAGTAAATTTAAAGACCTGCAAGTTAAAATTTTTTAAAACCACTTTCGAGTATCGTTTTATAAAAGAAAATCTACATTACAAAGAAAGAATACATTACACCATCTATTATATAATATATCATACTTCAATTTTTATAGTACATTTTTATCATTTTTAAAGACGATAAAAGAAAATGTACAATCAATACATTACACTATCTATTATATAACATATCATACTTCAATTTTTATAGTACATTTCGATAATTTTTGAAGACCAGTTTTAACAAATTCATTATTCTCCAATTGCACATATAATTTTGATAATAAGTTCTGTAATATTGTATTTTTATTATTACATACTAATCCGGTAGTTATGTAGTTTATGCACAACGGCTAACAAAGAATTTGTTTAATTTGCACTTAAACATTGATTTGTTAATCAATCCTTAGTGAATCAGTTTATTAAAACCTATAGATTAATGCAATAATAAATCGAAATTTGATACACATTTACAATGTTTGTGAATTTTGATACAAATATCAGTTGATTTGATTTAGTATCTTGTACTCTGACGACATACTAAATAGGTTGGACTAATTATGACATGAAATAATTTTATATTTCAGACAAATATGTTTGTTATAAACACAAATTGCAGTATGTAATTATTGATTATCCTGTACAGGAAAAACTAATATATCCAAGTAGATTATGAATGAATACAACTTCAAAGAAAATTATGCAATATTTTGGTAGTTAAAAAATAATATATAAGTAACCGTAAGTGGTTCTCTTACATATTTGTAAGTTATTAAAATTTTATAGTTGTTGTCGATTGAAATTATGATTATTTATATATCTTTTAAAGTTTTATGATGCTTTCATAGATTTCCATTTATAACAAATTTAAAAATGAATCACATATAGATTTACTAAAGTTTTTCAACACATTTTTTTATTCCTAAATGAGTTAGATACACATTTGGTGAGATGCTCCCCAAAATATAATTTTGTTTGTTCTACTTATTTTTTGCTTAGTTTCGAAGTTGTTGATAAATTTTTTTGAAGTTGTACATATCTGCAGATCTCAGTAAGATCATAATACGTTGTTTTTATTTTTATTTCAAATAAATCTATAATTTTGGTATTGTTTTTTGGGTGTCAGACACGAGGTGCCTGTGACGAGTCAAAGGATCGCCATTGTGCACATGGACGAGGACGTTGTTGTGGTCAACAAACCTGCCTCCATACCTGTAAGTGCCAGAAAGGACTGGTCACCTATAATATTTAACGAATAGAACCCAAAACTATTCGTTATTTATTTTGCAGTAGTTATTTGATATCATTGCATGCTTTGCACGTATTAATATTAAAATTTGGTGAAGTAGAAAGTTCTGAAAACTTAAACTTAGTAACCACAACGATACACACTGTTTTTCCTAACCTAGTTATGTCTTGGAAAAGTCGAAAACAAGGTATAAATTGAAATTAAAAACTGAAATTTGAAATGAAAAATTGATATGTTTTACAACCGAAGTGATTTCACTAAATTGGTATAAGCAAAAAAACATGCTTTTAATAATCCCAATACAATATCCGAGTGGTATATCTAATTAGTTTCCCTACATACAAAATAAAATGTGAGAAACTCCTCGAACTTTTTACTTCACAATTATTTAATTCAATTGCTTGTTTGTGTATAATCATAAAAGACTTTACTAGTTAGTTACATTAAAATGTACGTCTGATAAATCAGTTAATTAATTAATCAGTATCTACTATGACAAAGTATTTTATCCTTAATTGGTCTTGGTATTTATTTTTAACAAAATGCTCATGTTACTATAGCATTATTCTTCAGTTGTTTATTTACAACTCAGAAATTGCACGATTATTTTATATTAGTTATATTTATATATTTGCAAACATTATCTAATTAACTTCCCGTAGAATAAGTTATAGTAATCGCAAAAAAAAATCGAAAATGAAAATTTTTATATTTCTTTACGTTTCAGAGGTATTTGGCATACCTTAGAAAACATGGATGTATGTGTGTGTATGTGTGTGTATGTGTGTGTGCGTGTGTGTATGTGTGTTCTGATACAAATTTTCGTCGACGACTTCGGGAACACGGATGAAGCGATTTGAATAATTCAAAAAACATTCGATTCATATTGATAAGGAGACGTGCTGATTAGTCATTGGCGAAGGCAGGTTTAGTCGTTCCGAAGATATGGGGCAAAAAGTGACAAAAGCGGTAACTCAGTTTTTAGGAGAACGGAGCGCTCGACTTGAATAATTCAAAAAGATGAATAATTCAAAAGATGAAGAACTGCTAAAATTTTCATGAAGGCAGACCTAGCGGTTTCGGAGATCTAGGAAAAAAGGGAAAAAAATGACATCTGGCGGTCAAAAATGGTCATTAGCACATCAAATTATCAGATGTTTTATGGAGATTTTAACAATAAGTATAAATTTTGTTTACATTCCTATGGGTTCCGTACCAATACTTATCCGATAGACGGTGGCGCGGCGCATTCGCGCTTTGATATTTCGTCTCCATGATGCAGTTAAAGCAGTACGATTGCTTTGAAAAAAAGTTCAGAATTTCCAAAATATTTCAAAATACACTTTTCTTCAAAAAGTCTTTTTTTCAAAAAAAGTAAATTTTTGTCAAAAATTTATAGTTTCTTAAAAATCTAATTTTCAGTTAATCTTTAAAAAAAAAATTTTTGGTACAGGAAGTTCCAGCAATTTGCCTTAAAGCACGATGCCATGCGCCCCACTAGTTTATATAAGATTAACTTTGTTTACAATGCTTTTACGTAATGCGCACCCTTATTCCGTATTTTAAACTCGAAGCATACAACCGTTTTATTCTAAGCATTTTATTTGTGAAAATTATTCTTCTAAAATGAATAATGAGTTATCCATTACATGTGTGAGTAGCAAGAATTTTAGTAGGAGGTCCAGATTGAAGATAAACCCTTCTAACTAGCCCAGAATTTCCAAATAAAGAATTTTTAGATCGTTCATCCAATAGGAGTACTAACAACTCCTACTTGCCCTTTCCCTAAAGGCTTCGACCATGCTTTAATGCTAATATATTCTTCAATTGTTTTTACAGTGGGCTATTTACCAAATATTTAGACTATTTACCAAACATCTTGTCTATATATTATTTCCGTATTTTTGACCCCGATTTCCAAAATCGAAAAGGGCATGAGAACAGATAACCTTTATCCTTTTCCTCATCATTGATAGATTGACGTATTAGTGGAATTGCGGTGCGTGTGGTACTTTTGTACCTCGAATTCAGTTCGTGTGGAACTCATAAAACTGCCAAGAGTATAGTTTTGTATTCAGTTTAGTGGATAGTAGATAGATGAGGAACTGGGTCTTGTATAATTCAGGAGCCATCGATCTCTTGTACATTTCAGTGCAATATACAAGGACCATCAAGCGCCTGTCGTAAATCTGCCGCTGAATATTCAATAGATTTCAACCGAACAGCATTGTCGTTGACCTCGTCTTTGTTCCATTTCAGATACAAAGTAGAATATTCATTATATATGTGTATAGATATATGTACATATACATAACAAATTTTCAATCGTCGCAACTTAAAATAAAAAGACAAAAATATACAGGACTTTTAGGTAATAAATAGGTGTCAAGAACCAGGAGTTCCACCCTAAAGTTTCAAGAGCATGTGACTTGTTGAGCATTCGGAAAATTAATGTACTAACACTCAACTACATATTTATTTATAATGTAGTATTGTAGCAGCTGATATTCAACTTTCTTGGTTACTTCACTCATTATCAGTCAAATACCTTGGGCAACAAAAAATATTAACAATAGTAATAAATAGTGCATGTTAAAATGATATATTCTTCACCTTTGTTAATGATATTCGCTCATTATGAAAAGTGAATTATTACTTTTTGATGGTGTATTGCATAACTGACAAAAATCTGAAAATTTATTTTTAACACTGAATTTGAAAGCTCTTCTTAACTTTGGAAAGAGCGTAGTAAAGTTATCTAATTATCAATATTTTAGGATACGTTTTCGCACAAATAGATATCAAAACCATAAGGGCAGTTTAAGTGAACTTTGCTAATAACTTTCTTCTATGTTCGTCTGTTCTATTGCGATTTAATTTTTTATCTCATGTTTGATAACAATTCCAGTTTCTGCTCCAAAAGCTCTAGAATTATCTCAAAACGACACATCCAAATTCAAACACGTATTTCTTCACGCGTATGTAATATAATTAAAATTTAAATTTGTTTAAGTTAACGACGTCTGTATAATTCCATAATCAAATATAGAATCCTCTGAGCTGTCGTTATTTGCTCAGAACAGAAAATGTCCAATTCATATTATACAACACGTTAGAGATATGACTCTCTTGTTGATAATTTTGCAATATGAATCACTGAAGCGTACGTATTATGAGATTTACTGGCCATTGTTTCTCAATATTAGATTGTTAGTCGGAAAAATTAATGAATGATTAATTACTTAATAGTATAGAGCTTTTAGTTGTCTGTATTTCTTTTCAGATTTTCTTATTTTTCTAGTTTTGAATGCTTTTTTAATTCAACCTAATATTTTAGCTAAATTAATAATGTTCATTAAATTATTGTTAAAGAAAATGTAATTTAGATGATCTTAGGTTGAACAGTACCATATGAACTAGATTTTACAAATTAATTCAACCTAATATTTTAACTAAATTAATAATGTTCATTAAATTATTATTAAACTAGTTGGTATTGGTATTTTGCCTTGAGGCAAGTTACATGAACTTTCCGATATGTGTAAATAATCGACTTAATCAATAAAAAATAAATTAATTTATGAGTGATTAAAAGTATTCCGAGTGGATTTATTACACATAATTGAAAACGAACGAACACGTCAACTCAGAGTAGTTTCTAAAAGCAAGTTTTTATAAATCAATAATTTTTATAATTGAACCAGTTTCCATAGGACGTTAATGGCTTAGTATGTTCATAAAGACGAAGTATTCTGCGGTTATACCAAGTAAATCGTCTAATTTTAATTTTAACAAACGCCAATAAACTCTCTTTCTCAAATTTTGATGAATTTTTAATATTAAACTACTTGCAGTAAGGCTGTAATATTTCAGTAAGTTCTATGAGACCATGATATATCGCCAAATAAAGTTCCATAAAAATTGGCTTTTTAACGGTCCAGGTACTTTTGAGCAAACGTCGATGAAAATTCTAATTTTGACCAACGGCAAAGCTACGATACGATACTAATTTTTACAAACTTTGACAAATTTACAAAATTAAACGACTTGTCCTAGGGCGGTAATATTTAAGTATGATCTATAAGACTATGGTATCTACCGTCAAAAAAAAATTTAAAAAATTGTCGATAAAATTTTGTTAATACTTTATTACAAGAAAACGGCGAAAGAATTTCCAAAATCGATTCAGAATTGCGGGCTAAAACATTAAAGTTGTTACATTTTTTCACAATTTAACTAACATATGGATTTTTATAACAAATTAGAAATAAAAGAAAAAAACAGAAGAATGCTTTATTATAAACTTTTTATTAGTGTTATGTCAAATTATTAGACTTTGTCAATATAATGTATATATATATATATATATATATATATATATATATAGATTATATGGAATAAATCGAATTTAACCCTCAAAGAACTACTCTCTAGTAGGACACCGCGTAAACGCATTACTGTCGAGTGCGGCAGCACTACGTTCGACAGTTTAACGCCTTTTTTCCTCTTCCATTTATGTTTATTTTAAAGCTTATTTTTATTTTTGGTTTGCTTCGGCTGGTTTGTCGATCGAATGCAATCAAACCGCAGACATGAGACCCCGGTTTTGAAAAATCCAATTCGCCTGATACACGTTGATCAGGATTTAGTTGTACTGGACAAGCCAGGCTCCATGCCGGTGAGTAGGCGAAAATAACCATGACCATGTTAGTGTTGTGCAATTCCTGGAACGAAAATGGCAGTGGGTGAATTTGATAATAATTCGCAAAATGGAATTCAGTTTCGAAGTTATTGCTGAACAGTTCTGTCTGTTAAATGTCTAGTTCTAGAACGGTTTTCTGTGATGCATACTGGTTGCAGAAATATATTTGCATTTGCTCACATGTCTTGCAGAAAGAAGAGTTTAAAATGATCGAAAAATACTTAAACTTTAATTTATTCCTCAACATATCAAGTCAGTCATATGTGTCTGACGCAAAGAAGTTCTACATGAGCTATTGCAGACATAAGTTTGACAAATTGACCTTAAAATTTCTTGGCTTGTCGAGAAAAATGGTATATAACAAATAGGGTTTTTTCGGGAATTTTGGATTTTTTTTATTCATAGGTGTTCTTAATCTATTTTTAACTGAATTATGTAATAAAGTTATCATGGCCCATGTGATTTTTTTTTTAAATTGTCAAGGCGATCACATGCATAATATTTTCTATATATAACAAAAGTAAATGCAATAAATCATACGTTTGGTCATTTAATTTAATATTATATATAAACCTGATCCAATTTCCCCTTCATTGAATTTAAGTGAATATATATTTAGTAGTTTTTTGAAGTGAACTCTGAACTAAGGATTAAATTAAGTAATAAAGTATAGATTTCAATTATCATATATATTTAATATTTAATATATATAAAGTTTGATTTTATATTCAATCAAAGTTTGTATGAAAAGAGCATGGAAAAAATTTTGAAAATTTAAAAAAAATGTTTTAGATATAACTTAGCGACAAATGAATGAGTTTTATTCATTCATTTGTTCGCTAAATTACATCTAAAAACATTTTTAAAATTTTTGAAAATTTTTCCATGCTATTTCCATACAAAACTTAGATTGAATTGCGCTCTATCTAAACTTTAAAATTAAGAGCTAAAACTTTCAGAGAATTGTTTTTTATCAATTTGGAACCATTTGAGCCCCTGGGAGCAAGGAAATTCGAAAATGACCATATTAAGGACCACCCTATATATATATATATATATATATATATATATATATAAATGTATAATATCTGAAATGAAAAACAAATATATACCGTCATTCACATATATTTCGACTCTTAATAATTGTCACTTTTAAGAAAAAACGTAGTAATATAAAAATGATAAAGAATCACAAAATTATAGTTTCAACTAAGTATATTATTCACTATAGTTTTGTGACAAGTGACAATTATCTTATATTCCCATTATTTTTCAATTTTGATGTTTTTTCCTGCAGGATGATAACACCAGTGTGTAAAGCAATAATTGAATACAATTTTTTTATCTGATATAACATTTATCATATAACATTTTGTTTTATTTTATGTTCCTAAGTTGTAAACAACATTTAAAAATGTTGTACAATAATTTACAAAAGCCAAACAATTATTTTATTAAAAAATTCATTCACTGCCAATAAGTTCCAGGATAGCCTCTTTACCTCACCACAAATCTCGCAAAATATTATCAAATGCAAATATCGCGAGATATGATTTTTGCAAATTGCAAAATATATTCCTACTAATATCATTATTGAAACTCCAAATACAGCTTACTAAGACGAGTTCATATAATATAACTAAATAAATTAAAAGGGAGAAATTCCATTATAGCATTCTAAAAAGAACTCTCGTATCAACTACTAGTAAAACTCTGATGCTTAAAAATTGAAGGAATTCATAAACTTAGTTGGTCAGTGGTAAATTAATAATATTGTGTATTCCATAAAATTGAAAATTGTAATTTGAAAATTTCATGTAGTTGAGATTACGTTTACGTATATATTTTTATTACCATAGATGGATGTATCAAATCAAATTACCTCCAACCAATTGCATATATTTCGACTCTATGATCATTTGGATCTAAGGGTATCATTAGGCTTCATTGAAACTGCTCGTTTTATCCCAATTTAGAACAACTTCTTCCAAATAAATTATCCGCAGATTCTGAGCCAATGACAAGGATACTATCATATTATCATCAAGGATATATGTAAAATTATTTTTCCATACTCATACACTGGTACTGAATAATAGTAAATTAATCATCCAGAAAATAAGTTCAGAATTTGGTTTCATATCTTTTTCTATTCAGATCATCGATGGAATTTCATAATATGTCTTTAGCTCTCAGTCCCATTTCAGTTTTTTGCATTTCCATACGTATTAAGTTCACAGAAATGGATTCTTCTTGAATTAAATTAAAGATTCTTATATATAGGTATTTGACCTTTTTTGTATGATTCTACATAAAATCGTATAACAAGGAACCTAATGTTAAATCAAGCATGTGCATGTATTGATTTTGCAGAAAAATCTGGCTGGAGCGAATATAAAAATATATAAGGATATATATATATATATATATATATATATATATATATATATAGAAGTTAGTTTTGATGTTAAGAAATATGAGTAAATTCTTCAAGGGCAATACATCAAATAAAAGGCAAATTTTAGGAGTTAATCTTTAATTTTTTCCAAACGTTTTGACATAGGATTTTATGTCATCATCAGTGGATCTACAGAATGAACAATGAGATATTAATATAAACTAGGAAAAAATGACAGAAATTGGAAAAAGAACTATAGATACAAGTATTATAATTGTAACAACAATAACAATTATAACTAAACAGATAGACAAACATAAGAAATGAAAAGTGAAAAGAAATATATACAAACATACAACAGTACATATATATACGATATGCATGTACAAACACGTACACACACACACACATATATATATATATATATATATATATATATATATGCACAATACGACGTTTGGAAATAATTAAAAATTAACTCCTAAATCTTTGCCTTTTATTTGATGTATTGCCCTTGAAGAATTTACTCATATATATATATATATATATATATATATATATATATATACAGTGCTGGATTTACAGTAGGGGCAATCGGGGCTACTGCCCAGGGCGGCAAATTTGGGGGGGGCGGCAAAATTTGGATAGTGAGAAAAAAATTCTATACAATATAATCAACTTTTTTTTAACATTTTATATTTCAAGAAATATAATTAACAAAACATAATACGATTGCAACGCAAAATTTGGGTTGAAATAACCGATAACTAAAATTTATTATTTTGCCTTGCCTCTCTCTCCGAACGTAAATTATCAAATTGGTTAATAAGTTATCAAATTTGGCAATTTGGCTAATATAAAGATCCATAAACAAGCTGAAAGTTCAACAAAAATATGTTTTTCAGTTTTCGATCCCTCTTAAAATGAAGAAATTGTGCACTTCCAAGCTTATAGCGTCGAAAAAAAATTTAAACTAGTGACTCATGGCATTTTGCCTTAAGACAAATTACTGAAACATCCCGTACTGAAACTTACATTTTATAAAGTTTAAAATTTTTTGAAAAATGAAAAAATCATCAATACAAATCTAATATTTTTTAATTATTCAAGTCGATTTCGAGAACACGGAACAACCGATTTAAATGATTCAATTCCTATTGATAAGGAGACGTGCTGATTAGTTATTCGCCAAGGCAGGTCCAACTGTTTTGAAGATACGGTTCAATATCATTCAAAAACAAATTACAGAATAAATAACTGCCTAAATTTGTATGGGGGGCAGGTTTAGCGGTTTCGATGATCCAATAAAAAAAATTGAAAAAGAAACATTTGGCGGACAAAAGTGATCATAAGACATATGCACATTAAATTATCAGATATTTTAAAGATATTATAATAATAAGTACACATTTATATATGCGTTCTGTAACATTGTTTATCCGTTAGACTGCGACGCGGCGCTTACGCGCTTCTATATTTTGTCCCTACGCTGCTGAAGCAGCGCGATTGCTTTATAAAAAAGTTCGAAATTTCGTAAAATTTCAGGGATGGGGCGGCATTTTTGACAGTGCCCCGGGGCGCCAAATTTCTAAATCCGGCCCTGTATATATATATATATATATAAATGTATATACCATTTATATATATATATATATATATATATATATATATATATATATATAATTTAACAAATAATATCCTGATTTTTTAATAATGATTACTATTAAAACTTTGTTAACTAAACTTACTCACATTGTTACTTCTTGAAGATATTGATTTGCATGTTTATTAATACATTAATATAAATACCTAAGCATTTTTGTATGCATGAATGTTGTTAAAATTTGGCACGTTATTTGCTTTTTATAAATTTTTTGCTCATATTCATTCTAACAACTTTGCTTAATATTATAATTAGAACAGGTCATATATCTTAATAAATAGATTTCAAATTTAACTATTTTCTATCATTTTATGTTTCATAATTCTATAAGAGACATTGATAACATATAACAATGGTTTACTCGATTTTTTTTATAATATCAACCATTTCGGAATGTGGTCTGGCAATAGCATATCAATTTATTGATAGAAGTATTGGATCAATTGTGAACCAACAATATCCAACTGAAATTTGCACAATTGAATTTAAGATCATGATTTTTGTTTGAATATTTGCTTCAAGAACAAATATATTTCTCGCAGTTGCGTATATTGACCAATGAGGTCTTATGAATCAGGAATATGTATTACTTTTACCTCACTTATAATTTTTTTCTCTGAGTTATTTCTATACAGTAAATTTCAACAAAAACATTATTATTCGTATAGGTACACCCTTGTGGACGATATCGTCATAACACAGTAGTTTTCATTCTCGCCAAAGAATTCAACCTGAAAAACTTGCGCACCATCCACCGCCTGGACAGGCTTACCTCAGGCTTATTGTTATTTGGAAGAAGCCCTAAAAAGGCACGCCAGATGGAGCACCAAATAAGAAACAGACAAGTTCAGAAGGAATACGTGTGCAGGGTCGAAGGAGAATTTCCAGAGTAAGTTGTAATGGAAAATTAGATAAAATAAAATCATGTCAATCATCACCTCTTAGATCACCTCCTGTAGGGTTCATATTTCATTTACCATTTACCTTATATCTTATTTTAGTGAAATGATTGAATGCACAGAACCTATAGAAGTCGTCAGTTACAAAATCGGAGTTTGTAAAGTATCACCTAAAGGAAAAGATTGCACAACATATTTCCAGAAAATTGGTTTCAACGGAACAACCAGCGTTGTACTTTGCAAACCGAAAACTGGTCGAATGCATCAAATAAGGGTGCATCTTCAATACTTAGGTAAAGTAACTTAACTTATTGATAATTGATCATTGTGTAAATTTTGTATACTGTCTGTAGTAGTAATGGTGAAAATTTTATACATATATATTGGTATACATATGTAAGCAATTGAAAAATTATCATGGTATTTATTCTTTAGGGTATCCCGTAGTGAACGATCCTTTATATAATCACGAGGTGTTCGGTCCGATGAAAGGTCGTGGCGGTGACCTTGGAGGCAAAACCGACGAACAATTGGTCCACGACCTCATTAATATACACAATGCAGAAAATTGGTTGGGAATGGATGGCGATAGCGATGGCGGTTTGTCCCTGTTGCGGCCCCTTAAAGATATTGAGCCCCAGGCTTCAGGAGACGAAGACTGCTCACGTGAACCCTCACCTTGCGCCGATAGTCCTATACCACCCGTCACGCCTGTCGAGTAAGTAAACTATATGTATATATAATAATATTATATTCGTTAAAGTTATGTTCTAAGTGTGTGAAAATTATCAGCATACAGCTTCTTTTGCTGTATGCTTACCGGATTTGTAGAAGTAGGCAAACGATATGCCTAAATGAAATCATTACAGACAATTCAATTTGTCTGCGTGAGAAGGATCGTTATCCTGCGATAGCAGCGCCTTCATAGATGTTATGTTATATTTTGTAGTAAATCATTGCAGATTCTTTTTTTGAGTCGCTTTGGTGGTAAAGGCTTGAGCAGATCTGACGCTAATACGTTTGGATGACGACTTAGACGTGCTTTGTATCTGCTGCAGTAAAGACTAATTCTTTCTTCTATAGTTCGAATTCTGAGATCTTGATGTATCAACCAATTGGGAACGTATTTTGGAGCGTTCACGATTTCTTTCAAAATTTTATTTTGGAACCTTTGTAGAATAGTTATGTTTGATTTACTGGCCGCACCTCATAGTTGTAGGCCGTAGGACCATATTGGTTTAATAATTATCTTGTATATTAGGAGTTTATTTTCTATTGTGACTTGTGATTTCCAGCCCATTAACCAATTAAGTTGCCTACGTGTTAATTCAAGCTGCTGACGCTTCTTTAGAATATGTTCATGCCAGGTTAATCTTCTATCTAAATGTATTCCCAGATATTTAACAACATTGGATACAGGAACCAAATCACCACTCAATCTAACAGGGGGGCATGAACCTTGTCGTAAGGTAAAAGTAACGTGAACTGATTTAGAGTTATTCACTTTTATTCTCCATAGTTTCATCCACTTTTCTACTTCATCTACATGTTTTTGTAGAATTTCCGAGGCAAGCAATTGGTTTTCATGTTGAGCTAGAATTCCCGTATCATCTGCAAAGGTAGCAGTCATGGTTTTCAATTTCTAGTCACGGAATGTGATATCGAGTTTTCCATAAAAATATGGTTTCAAAATATATTTTTATTTGAAATACACACTATTATTTCCAAAATCAAATTGGAATTTGAATTGGGTCTTTTGTTATTTCTGTCAGTTTACGGACTTGTCCTATAGCAGAGCACTCTTTTCATTCAACTTTATTGATCATAGGGGGCCTCATTAATCACGTTGTCCAAAAATAAGGAAAAATCACGTAGGGGAGGGAGGGGTCAGGTGTATTTATATTTTATCTATATTTTCAAAAAACAACAAAAAAATACGATTCCCGGATTTTTAAGAAGCACTATTTGTACCGGAAACTGGTTTTTTATTCTGTATTGTCCGGATTTTTTGAATGGTTACGATAAAGCATAAATATTCTACCTACTGAAAAAAAACTTTCTGAGGTGTATTGTGTATGTTCTTATCAATTTTGGTTTTAAATAATAAAAAATGTAAAAAATCATACTCAGTAATTTTAGTTTAAATAAAGTGATTCTCTTAAATAAAGCTGTAAAATTTAATAAATGCTTAATTTTTTTATGTAAATATAACTTAGCTTAACTTTGAAAAAGTAACTTAGCTGATATTTAAGATATATGAATTAACTGCGATCTCTCCCTGCTAACAATTTTTGTCACGGAAATTAAAAAAGTATATTTATACCTTATTGTTCATAGTGCAGTAAATGGAGAGGGAAAAAGGGTGTAACCTCTGAATTTTTTTACAGTGCTCCGATTTGCATGAAATGTTGGAATTACATTTGGACCCCCGGGGATGGTGGCGAAGTCCAAATTGTTTTCACTTTTGAATTTGAGGGATGAACCTAATTTCAAAATTTCATGCAAATCGGAGCACAGTAAAAAAAATCCGACCCAAAACGCTTCATTGACTGGAGTAACAAGGAGGATTTTCATAATGTTATATTAAAACCATAATTAATCTATTCAAGTAATATATGGATAAATCTGGTGCAAATTTATACAATATTTTTACTTATTAGGTTATCAGCAGGCGCGTCTGCATACTACAATCTGCCAGAACAGAATAGTCCACCATTAGCATCTCCACCTGTTAGTTCTCAAACCCCTTGTAATATTGGAATGACTTCTATTATGCCAAGATCCGCAAGGATTCAGTCTAAGGTATTAAATCATCTTTTTAAATTGCATAAATGTTGTTATAACATTTTTATTATTTTTTCTTTACTAATTTTCTGTTAACTAGGTGACAGTGGCAACGCAAACTGGACACGAAGCTCCGGATCTAGCATTTAGTCCTGAAAAAATGACTACAGATAAGCATTGCTACGAATGCAAAGTCCGTTATAGGGATCCAAAACCTAAAGATCTCATCATGTACCTGCACGCTTGGAAATATAGAGTAAGTGATAAATAATTTGATATTCTGGTAAAAAATCACCAACTTTTTAGTTGATATGATCAATATACAGGTCCACAAAGAAAAGCCTGTATATTGGGTGTGCGAAATATGTTTTCCAATGTAGTTTTACCACTAATTACGAATTCAAAATCATAATTGGTGATCAAACGGCAAAAAATGGAGAAAAAAAATAAAAAAACGCAATCCGATCTAGTAGCTTCTGCATGATAATTAAAATTTTATAATTTTTGTCGTGGCTCTTTTTACCTTAAATGACTATTGAGTTTTATTTAAATGATCTATTGAATTTTTTGTATAATTTAGCAGTAATTTTAAAACATTTGCAAAAGGCCGTATTATTCCGAGCCTTTTATATCCAATAATGGTCTATTCTATATACTATCTTTAAATTATGGTCACAAAAAATTTAAGTTCTAATTGATCTGATTATTCAAAATCAAAGGACATGTTCCTAAGTCTAACTAAAAATGTTTATATTATAATTATTTATTTATTATATTGCTTTCAGGGACCAGGTTGGGAATATGAAACAGAATTACCTGATTGGGCTCGGGTAGATTGGACAGATGTAGATCAAGAATAGAACAATATCTAATTACTTGATCATGTTTTTAAATTTCATATGACTTTTAAATAAATTGAAGACCTTCGCAGCAAAGACAACTGAAGACAGATAAAACTATAACCATTACGCAGTTGTATAAACTTCATGAAATAGTATTTAAGATTGTTGATAAGTTTACAGAATAAGAATTTTTTGTTAAACTAGACAGGGTTCATTGGTTCCAATGATATGTAAAATATTAGCATTATCAAATGTATTGAACATTTTTCTTGTGATGTTAATTTGATTTAATCTTTACTACATCGTTTCATTCATAGTTATGGCTAATGCTCATTTACTTAGTTTAATTATTAGACTTAACATTGTAATGTTTTTAGAGTTTTGAATATTTGGTTTAAAATTGAAATAATATTATTTCAATCAAGGACCATACATAATTACATAGTAATATAATGGTATAAATAAATACCCATAGTCTATAAATAAATATAGTGAAAATACATTTTTATTATAAGTATTTTCTTACAATACAAAAGTTTATGAAAACATATATGCATATGTAAATTTTTATATATGGTTGGTCTATACAAAATTAATGTATAAATATCATCAAAATCTCAAAATATGTTATATTTATAAATATTCTATAAGGAAAAAATTTCAATTTTGTATTTAATAGAATTTTATTTATGAATCATAACGAGTTGTCATTTTCATTATATTTAAAACAATTCTGATAACAATAACAGAAAGAACTTGTTTTTATATATTAATCACCGCTAAAACATGTGGTATATTTTAATAATATAATGTTCACTAGCAATAGTTATAAAGAAAATTTATTAACAACTATAGTATATGAAATTGTTACAATGTTTTATATTTGTCACTATACCTAATGTAAAAAAAAATTATGTAATATTTTTTAACTGCTATATAGTAAATGAAAAAGCGTCACTCGATATTTGATTTTATTATAATTCAAATTAAATAGCAAATATATTGTATTGAATTTGTATCAAAAATATTGTTGTTATGCTTTTGTTAGCACTTTCTATATCAAATATTAAGATAACTAGAGCTTCCGTTTATAGTTAAATATTTATCCGTAAGATCTAGAGTTGTAAATATAAGTAAGTTTTCATTTTTCTTATAACTTGTGGTTTAAAATCATATATATATATATATATATATATATATATATATCTTAATGATTTACATGAATATAAATATTTTGTGCCTTGTAAATACAAATGTAATTGTACTTATATGTTAGATTTGAAAGGAAAATGACATTATATGTAAAATTAGTTGTAAGGCTTTTGCTGTTATGTATGCACTTAAGAAAATCAAATATACTAACAAAACATTGATTCAAATGATCAATGTGATGTGTATATATCACCAAATCGTAATACATTGTCATACAAGAATTGTATAACATGGTAAATCATAAAAATATGTTAAATTTAATGTTGGAAACCATTTTCAATAATTATGAAAAACACTGAACAAATAATGTTAAATACTATAATTAATTTGATCAAAACTTGTCTCGTTAAAAATATTTTTGAATGCAGCTTTCATTCATGAAACTAATGGAAATAGTTTTAGAAAAATATATACAATAGTGCAAGGGACCTAAATATAAAGCATCATTGTATTTCCAGCAAAAATTATTTAGTAGTTCATACATATCAGATTAGTTTACCTATTTTTGCTATTACCTATCATAATACCAGAAATGAAATTCTATTTGTTGCCATTTGTAGCAATATTAATATCATTTTCTAATCAAACTTTTTCAAAGACAACAGATGCTCATATTTATTGAAGTTTAACACAGAATAAGTGTAAATTTCATTAATTTAATCATTTAAATAATTGGTTTCATTATGGTTTAGAGAAATTCAAATTTTAGTTATCGATTTGATTTAAATTAATAATAATTTTACATAAGTTGTTACCAAAATAAAACATGTAAGTTTTAATTTTTTTGCAGTTATTATTTTTAACTTTTTAGACAATCTTGTCATTTATAATGTAATTATTGTTGTGTAATATAATGGATTAGTTTATGTTTACATTAGCAATGCATATAAAAAATGAAATGTGAATGTAAATAATTTTGCTACTTTAATCACCATATATTTAATAACTACAGAAAATTGTCATTAATATTTTATAGCTGTAATAAAATATCTTGTGCATTAATTTTTTTATTTGTTTACCTGTTTTTTATTACTATCCAAATATCCATAATAACCTATTGATTGCATGGTAACATTTTCTCAGATTTTCAACATTTTATCGGCATTTAAATTTAATATCAATATACATACTATATTTAGAATTTTTGCGAGATGATAGGTTAAGCTGATTCTCTAGATTTAGTAGAAGAGTACACAAAATTTTAGGATGATTTCTAATTCGGTCCGATTATGAAAATTTAAAATGACAAGGATGATGAAATGATAAGTATATAAACTTTTTTAATAAAACATATATTTTCTATATATCACATACAAAATGGAAACAATTTTTGTGACATGAAAAGTATTCAGTCAGAAGCGAATATCTAATTATAAAAATATATAAAATTGAATAATATAGTTCATTGATTATACAAAATAAGTATATATGTAACAGCATTTCAATGTTATTATTATAAAGATATTTATCCAAAATATGCTGAGCAATTAGAACAACGTCTATTCTTCATAGCTAAGCAACACAATATTCCAATAGGAAAAAAGAATATTGCGCAAAATATTCCCAGGCAAGTATAGTCATCTTCTAATACGCCTACTCTACAGGCTGGACATCCACCCACGATTATTATTTCTGGAGGAGCAACTGGTTGATGAATAACAGTTATGGGTGCTGATGGTATTGCTCCGTAAGAAGGTAGTTGGCTAGGGGGAACAGAGTTATAAAGCAATCTGGGATCTTGTTGATATTGTGGGCCTCCTGGAATACAGGTATAATATGAACATATTCTTTATTGCACGTAGTAAAAAAAAACTATAGTGTTCATTATTATTTTGTAAGAAGATTCCACTTTGCAAATGCTAAATTTAAAAGATTTTGAAGCCTATATATTTACTCGATTCATATTCTGGTGGAATAGCGGAGTACGCTGGAGGTTTTTCGCTATATTGAGGAGGAGCACTCATTTTAACTTTATAATGCACTATTTAAATTGATAATTAATAACAAGAAACAAAACATCACTCAAAACACTTATTATTTTGACAGATGACAGATGAATTCTTTATTTTGACAGTTGCTTGACATATGACAGATGTTCTGTTGGCGACCCTTTATGTTTAGATTTTCTTAAATACATACTTTTTTTCTACTGAATGTTTAACTATTGTTTAACTTTAAATCAAATTCACTCAAAACACTTATTATTTTGACAATCAAACATCACTCAATTTTGACAGATGACAGATGAATTTTTTATTTTGACAGTTGCTTGACATATGACAGATGTTCTGTTGGCCACTTTTTATGTTTAGATTTTCTTAAATACTTTTTTTCTACTGAATGTTTAACTATTGTTTAACTTTAAATCAAATTCACTCAAAACACTTATTATTTTGACAATCAAACATCACTCAAAACACTTATTATTTTGACAGATGACAGATGAATTCTTTATTTTGACAGTTGCTTGACATATGACAGATGTTCTGTTGACGACTTTTTATGTTTAGATTTTCTTAAATACTTTTTTTCTACTGAGTGTTTAACTATTGTTTAACTTTAAATCAAATTCAAGTAAATGTGGATAAATCAATTGAATTGTTTACTAAAAGTAATTCTAGATAAATTCTTTATTGAATCAGCTTTATACTTACAATTCTTTTCACAATGAAAATTCATTCTTTGAATCATCAATTACTTTGGTGAAATGAATATCGAATATTGCGTTCTGAAGGAATGCAAAAGCACCACTTTGTTTTAATTAATAGTCAATGAATTGATAATTGATGTTGATGTGCTTTGAATAATATATTACTTTCTACTATTAGAGTTGCTGAAACAATAATTTATTTTAAGTATTTAATTAATAGCCATCAATATTGTGCATATTCCATCTAACAGCACAGTTTATTATTTAATTAATGTTGTCAGTGATACTACATTTTCTAATTTATGATTACAACTAAATTGTGTCCATTATAGGAGATTCTAAGAAATCTGAGCAACATGTCTATTCGGATTTCCTGCCTGCAATCGGCAATCCTGACCTGAGTATCTTCTTAGTTCTAAATCTAACAATGGACTCCAGCTCAGACTTTTGGAATACCTCTGACTGGACCTCTCATGGTTTCACACATGTTTATATCCTTCTGAGCAACATGCTTATTCAGATTTTCTGCCTGCAATAGATAATCCTGACCTGAGTATCTTCTGAGTTCTGAATATTACAATTGTCTCCAATGTAGACTTTTGGAATATATCTAACTGGATATATTTATCGGAATATATCACCTAATTTGTTAAGGCGAACGTCAATTGATTTAGTTGATTTGAAATAATCTGTCTGTGAAATAATAATTATTAATTAAATATTAAAATGAGATATGTCGTATGAGGAAATAAAATTAATGTTTCATTTTAAAGATCTCTCTGAGATCATTTTTGCATATTAATTTAAATTTTATAACATGTGCACGTTAAGACTGACTTGTGTAAAAATGAAATTGTTATCTTATATGAATATGAATGAAATAGAGAAAGTTTGTCTGAATATTAACTTCCCAAAGGAGAAGTTTATATTTTCATCAAAAATCCGATTCGCTAATTTTATGTTTTCCCGACGTTTCAAGCCATTCTGAATCGAATAAGACCCAATTTGGAAAAAGAATGTGTGTGTGTGAACAGTTTTTTTGCCGTAAATCGACGTTTTCTCAAAAAAGGTTGGACTGATTTCGAAAATTTAAAAGCCATTCGATGTATTTCGATGAGGACTAGCGTACCTGAGTTTTGTGTGACGATTGGCCGAGCCATTTCTTTGTAAATTGCAGAAAAGTGAAAAAATTTTCGTCCACGTTTTAGCCCGCAATTTTTAATCGATTTTGAAAATTCAAAAACCGTTCGAAAGATATTGGTTGTGAATCGTGCTGATTAGTTTTTGGTAAAGATCGGCCGGGCCATTTTCTTGTAATAAAGTTTTTTTTAAAGAAAATCGACGATCAAAATTAGACTTTTGATCGACGTTTTCTCAAAAACGACTGAACCGATTTTGGGAATTTAAAAGCCATTTGATGTATCTCAATGAGGACTATCGTTTGTCAGTTTTGTGAGACGACCTACCGAGCCGTTTCTTTGTAATTTCGTCCACATTTAACCTCAAACTACTAAACCGATTTTAAAAAATCAAAAACTGTTCGAAAGATATTAGTTGGGAATGATACTGATTAGTTTTAGGTGAAAATCTACCGAGCCATTTTCTTGTAAATAACTATTGAAAAAGAAATTGAACCCGATTTTTATGGAACTTTTTTTGGCGATATATATCATGGTCTTATAGAACTTTCTGAAATATTGCGCCTTACGACAAGTAATTTAATTTTAAAAACTCATCGAAGTTTGAGAAAATGAGTAGTTTTTTGACGTTTGTTAAAATTAAAATTAGACAATTTACTTGGTATAACGATAGAGTACTTGGTCTTAATGAACATACTAAACCATTAAAGTTCTATGGAAACTGGTTCATTGATTTTTGAAAATTTGCTTTTAAAAAATACTCCAAATTAACTAGTTTGTTCGTTTTCAATTATGTGTTTTAAATACACTAGGAATACTTTTAATCACTCATAAATTAATTTTTTGTTATTGATAAGTCGATTATTTACACATATCGGGAAGTTCATGTAACTTGCCGCAAAGCAAAATACCAATCCCAACTAGTTAGTAATTAACTATATGTGAGTTTGGGACATTTTTTTACATTTTGTCAAATATTTTAGAAATTTTATTACGGATACTGTTATTTGTTTATTTTAGTATGAATAAGATAAAATTTACCATCAAATAGTATCAATTATTTTATATACTTGCATATCAAAATTTTGAATAATTTTCAGTTGAACCGCAAATTTAAACGTAATATGTAGATTTGGAACTTTTTTTACTTTTCTTCAAATAACTTTTAATTTTTTTTCAGACAATTTAATTTATTTACATTAGTGAAAACTAGATAATATTTACTAAAATTTAGTGCAAACTACTATATATATTTGTATACTAAAATTTCGTATAATTTTTAACTGGAACGCGAATGTGTGTCTGCGTACATTTTATCAAACAACTTGAAAATTTTGTTCTAGGCATTTCAATTTATCCATATTAGAAAAAATAGATAAAATTTAGATTTATAATTACTAAACCATATTAAAAACATAAACTGTCCCAATATGATTTGAATAAATACGGTTATGTGACAGCCTGTATATATTTTAGTAGAATATTTTCTGGCTCGTGCATTATTAATATAGTTGTATACATATATCTGCTGAAAATATTGTTTGTATTATAATAATTGAGTCAATATCATTTTTCTAATAAGGTGCACTTTATTAATTTTTAATACATAAAATACAATTTTTTTTGTTAATTTAACAACTATTATGCTAATAAAAGATTTTAAAATAATTTGGCAGACATATGTGTAAAAGATGTTGTTCTTATTTAATTTGCTATGGGGAAAATATGTTGATTCAGTTTTTTTATTTATTTATACAAGTGCCTTTTATGAATGTTTTAAATCAATATAAAAGAAAAAAGTTTGTACTTCTCAGAACTCAGAAATACGTTCAGAAATTCTTTTATTGTTGCTAAATGATTAATTAACCAATACAGCTTTTTGTATGCTTTGATTACTTATTTGCTGCAGGGGCCCTAGCACCTTACCTTAAGTAACTCCTAAATTGATGGTATTTTGTTACAAATTATAAGTTACAAATTTACTTTGTTACAAAAATCTCTTTTTTATTACACTTCTTGTTCATTATTATACAGAAAAAATATTTGTATTTGTATTTGACATTTCCAGTATCAAGAATCATTTGTTTTCCCCAAGCGCGACACACACATTGATAAAAAGGACATTTCGTCGAATAAATCCACAATATTTTATCAAGCGCAAATTTATTTTTCTATATTTAACTATTCTCGATAATAATAATTTAAATATAACTGCAGCTAATATTATGTATTTAATAATTGTAGTAATAATATTTGTATTATATTGTTACTATTTTAATTTTTATTAATGGCAAAACATATTTTATAATATTATACTTAAACATAACTTTATAAAGATATAAATATATTATTATGATAATATGTCTGTGCATGTGATATTGTAATATGTCTATGCATGAAAGTTTCATGGAACAATATAAAACACAAAGTTAAAAATATAAATAGATATATTATAACATATGATTAATAATTTCGAAAAGCAGATTTCACAAAAAAAGTATATTTATTTATTCCATACCGATTCTACAAAATGAGAAACCATATTTTCCATTGAGCAATACAAGAAAAAAACATATTCCACATTCGTTCTTTATTAGCAAAATCTTAAATGATTTGTATGTGAATATTTCTATATTCTAAATCCTACAATATTAGTACTCTCATACACAGCTTATATTTAGCAACATGAATAAATCATGTAAAACTCATATTCAGCGTTTCATATATCGCCCACATTCAGCAATATGGAAAAATCATGTAAATCTAATATGTATCGTCTCATATTCAGCTCATATTAATCGCGCGTTGTGAACGTGGGCTCAACATTTTTAACATTTGCTATACGTTTAAATATTTAGCTTGCATTAAAATCATCTCCAGCTCAGATGTATTTCTACTGGGGCGATATTGACTGCATGAACACTCTTATTTATGGATAACACGATTGTTGGTTTTGATCAAATCCTTTCAAATATTTAATACGACTTACCAAATTATTAATTAAATGCAGCTTTAAAAGTCTCTCACTGTAGTTTTATTTAAAATTTATTTAATTATCGCTGCTTAGATAAATGATAGATTTTTATTCTTTTATTGCTAAAAACAATTTTGATCAAGACATACAATCAAAGTTTCAAAAAGTTGATTTGAATGATTCACAAAATATAATTTTGTTTACAAGTTTATTATTCGATTCAAGTTGTAAAAATTATTTAACTCAATTTCTAAAGGAAAACAATTAGCTTTATAACAGTTTTGAAGTTTTTAATGTTCAAGTTTTTGAACATTTTTTATTATTTCATTTTACAAGTTTTATTGAATTTTTTTTATGGCTTTTTCTAATAATTTGTATATTATTCAAGTCAACTAAATTTGCTTTTGTCTCGATTAATTGTAAAGGTTTCACATGTTTTATCAAGTCGTATAAACGATTTTGATTCGATTAATATGATTTCATTTCATCGATTAATTAAATAATTCTCTCAAATAATTTTTTTTTCTAAGTCCTTTCAGATAATTTCTTTTTCTAAGTCCAAATTTTTTGAAACCTTTTCGATTAAGAGAGACGAATTAATTTTGCATGCCTTGTCAACATTCGAATGAATGAGACCCAAATTGAATATTTCATAACGAGAAAATTTTATTGGGACAAAGTTAAAAATTTTAAAAGTCCCAGTAATTTTTTCTCGTTGTGAAATTTTCAACATGGACTTCATTTCATTCGAGTGTTGGCTTTGGAAATTGGTGTGAGGGAACACTTAAAAACATAAAAAAGTTTCAACGCTGAACAGAAAAGAGAAAACTTTGTCTGGGAGTTAGCTTTTTTTTTCCTCTCCAGCTCCCCCTTCTTCCTCCTCCTCCTCCTCTCTCACCCCTTTTTTTCTCTTTTTTTTTGGCTTTTTTTCGCTTTTTTCGCATTTTTTTTCTTTAATTAATATTTAATGGCTCCACGTGTTGCAGGAATGTAGAACTAAATTTTTTATCAAAATTTAAAAGCAATTCTACTGAACTATCATGATTTTATTAGAAAATTGCTTTTGTTAATAAATTTCGAAATTATTCATGTATATGAGTGATATATAAATAAAACAGTGAAAACTTGTCTGTATATTTAAAAATGTAAAAATATTTAACAAATTTTATACCCGAGAAAGGAAAAGCAAACAAGTGTACTATAAAACACAGGTTAGTGAAAGAAAATAAAATTTATTCTACACCAAATTTATTTATTTCAATAACCAACGACTAATTCATTGCAGTATAAATGTTTAGAGAGTTTATTAGAAGAATGGAATATCGTTATTTAATTTATAAAACCGTTATTGTTAAAATTGAAGATTCAAATAACGTCGTTTCGATTTCAAAACAGAAGAGACGTTCGAGTTTCTGAAACGCCATCTTCGACCGAGCGAACGTGCACGCTCTGCAGTCGCACGTCTACAAGTCTTTTGCACATCTATGCTTTGCGACGATAGGAGTTGGGAGAGGGAGTTGTCTATGGAGTTGTCATTGCGAGAGTTCATTTCCATCGTGGCGATTGCTGGAAGAACACAACGAGACGTCGTCGAACACGGACGAGCGGGCCTGACCCTTTGCTGCCTGTGGAGAACATGCGTCACCTGGTACGTTGTACTTGTGCTAATTATATTTCTCTTTGCGGATTCACTCGGATTTCATTTCGTGTTTTCAAGTTTTAAGATGTTTTAGATTTAATTGAAACCTTTTCTCATTGCTGTTTTTTTTTTTTGGAAAACGTGTGCTCGATTTATGTAGTTTTTTCTCAAGTCGTACTACTGTCTAAGACGTACGCCGGATATGTTTTACCTAATTATTTTATTTTGCATCATTTGGTGCCCACTGTTAAAAAAAACTACATATTATTATTTTGTTGACTGAGCAAGAGTTCACAATTGAATGGCTGGCGGTCATTGTGCAGAAGAAATAATCGAAAGTAATAATGACTGTTAATTCATTTTGAGAATTACTATAAGTACATTTATACGGATCGTTTCATTTGACGTTTTATTTACATCATTATCATCTGCTAATTCACTTCAATTTATAGATTAGAAGTATTGTATAAATTGGACCACAATCATCATTTCATCAAGAATTTTAAAGCAAAATTTCTTTTCCATGAAAGCAATTTTTTTAAATGCATAATTTTATTTTTTTTACTTGAAAAAAGTTACAAATTGAACAACAAATTGACAAAGAATAGTTACAATTTGAATGTATATAAAGATGCAAACAAAGACTATTCTGTGCTTCGCTGGAGCGCTGCATTGCACACAAAGACAGCTTTGGTGACGCATCAACAATGACATTTAATAATGTATGTATAATCAACTAAATTCAACAATAATTTGTGTATTTTGCAGGTGCGGGTAGGTTTGCGTTTGCTGCTACCAGAGTCCTTCAGTTTTTATACGAATATTGTTACTGTGACGCTTTGAATGTGGTATTTATTGGAATTGCATTTGGCACGAATAGATTTCAAGATATCAATTGATCAATACTTTAGTTGTCACTATAACTTTTAGAAATTTACAAAATCATTAAGGCATTGAATTTCATGATTCGAATGATCACGATATGTCTTGCATGTGGGTTAATTTATTAGTTAGGTAGCTTCAGTAGTTTTATTATTAATAATAACAAATACTAATACACTAATCTATTCAACTAATGAAAAATAATGTGGTCGTTTGAATCATTTGAGATTATGCAATGTGGATTTGACATATTACATTAAATTTTAATTTTCACTGTTTTCAATTCATGTTAATGCGTTTCATACAAAACCAAGTGCAATTCTTAAACTGCTAGTAAATTTCTACATTCTATTTCTGGTCATCAAGATGAAATCACACGGAAGCCACAAGATTCATATCATATCAAGCAAATTTTTGAGTATCGAATGGCCAAGTATCGAGTGAAAATTGAACGCTAACTCACTTCACCGGGAATCGCTCTGAGAATAATTTAAAAAGTAAGTTTTTATCTATAATCAGTATGAATGTGAACAATAAATAACATGTTTATTTCTTTTTCAGGTCCTTTCAACTACTGCTGCTCTGCACACTGACCCCTTCACCAGAAATCGCTCTGAAAATAATTTAAAAAGTACATTTTAACCCATAATCAGTATAAATAAGAACAACAATAACATGTTTATTTTTTTTCAGGTCCTTTCAACTACTGCTGCTCTGTACGCTGACCCCTTTACCAGGAATCGCTCTGAAAATAATTTAAAAAGTACGTTTTTATCCATAATCAGTATAAATGTGAACAATAAATAACATGTTTATTTTTTTTTCAGGTCCTTTCAACTACTGCTGCTCTGTACACTGACTCCTTCACCAGGAATCGCTCTGAAAATAATTTAAAAAGTACGTTTTTATCCATAATCAGTATAAATGTAAATAAATAACACGTTTATTTTTTTCAGGTCTTTTCAACTACTGCTGCTCTGCACACTGACCCCTTCACCAGGAATCGCTCTGAAAATAATTTAAAAAGTACGTTTTTATCCATAATCAGTATATATGTAAACAATAAATAACATGTTTATTTTTTTTCCAGGTCCTTTCAACTACTGCTGCTCTGCACACTGACCCCTTCACCAGGAATCGCTCTGAAAATAATTTAAGAAGTACATTTTTATCCATAATCAGTATAAATGTAAACAATAAATAACATGTTTTTTTTTTCCAGGTCCTTTCAACTACTGCTGCTCTGCACACTGACCTCTTCACCACGAATCGCTCTGAAAATAATTTAAAAAGTACATTTTTACCCATAATCAGTATAAATAAGAACAATAAATAACATGTTTATTTTTTTTCAGGTCCTTTCAACTACTGCTGTTCTGCACACTGACCCCTTCACCAGGAATCGCTCTGAGAATAATTTAAAAAGTAAGTTTTTATCTATAATCAGTATGAATGTGAACAATAAATAACATGTTTATTTCTTTTTCAGGTCCTTTCAACTACTGCTGCTCTGCACACTCACTCCTTCACCAGGAATCGCTCTGAAAATAATTTAAAAAGTACGTTTTTATCCATAATCAGTATAAATGTGAATAAATAACATGTTTATTTTTTACAGGTCCTTGCAACTACTGCTGCTCTGCACTCACACTACTTCACCAGGAACTTTTCCAGAAACATTTTACCAGGTATGTGTTTATCCATACCAGCATAAATGAAAACATTCCTAAAATGTTTGTTTCTTTTTTTGCAGATCTTCTCAATCCAACTATTACTGCCCTGAAGCTATAACATGTGAATGACTCGCAAGTGGTTTTTTTTAATAACTGCCTATAATTATGCATGATTAACTTAACTCTTATTAACTCAATAACATGACTAACCTCACTAACTTAATCAGTTATTATAAATACCACTTGTTGAGTTTTACTATGAAGATTTTACTGAGGTTGCTTGGAAGACGGGTGTGAATGATTAATCAGGTAATTTATTATTATAGTATATTTTATGAAACTTGTTACTAATTCATTATTTTTTATAGGGTAAACGACAACTTCAACCCAAGTGGTAAACTCTCAAGTTGCTCACGAGTGAGAACAATCATTTCATCTACTAATTATGCTGTCCGTCCGTCCGTCTTGTCACCAAAGAAGATGCTGCTGTGATCTACTACTGTGATCTATTGAATAGTTAAGTGCTTAGATGTTAATGAAATAATGAATAAATATATTGCATTTGATTTAATTTGTTGTTTTAATTTAATTATGAGCCACTTTACGGCCAAATTACATTATGCTGTAATGTAAATTACAAAAATATTTAAACATGTCTAAATTTTAAAAATTTCTTGTGTTATTAATAGGGATACTTATTGAATGCACTTTTTAGTGTAGACAATTGTGTAGAACAGCTTCTTTACTGTTTGGGTGTTTGCAACCATCTTGCCGCATCTTGGTTAAGCTCTTTATACCTTTGCTTTGACTCGGTAGAAACGCGTTGATAATAGACTTTGTTTTTTTGCAAACCCCTATGTAAGTCGAGTGCCTTAAACATTTAATACGCCAGACGACCGATGTTTCCTCTTGTTTAAATATTTTACTTTCTATTATTTCTTTAAATGGTGCACTCTTTTTCTTAGCTATAAATATCACTTAATTTAATGTCATACTGTGTTATTATTATTATATACTTTGACATATATATATATATATATATATATATATATATATATATATATATATATATACAATTAGACAAATATTAATGTATTTTAGCCATTTTCATTACTGCAGTTGTAATAATAATTAATATAATTGTATTATTAAATACTGTGTTACATTAAGAGTTTTGAATAAAACTAACTGAACTTTATTTGGAGTGTTTCATTTCACACCATTTTCAGTGATATATATTAGAACACACCGTACAGGTACAGATATTTAAACTGATAAGCTAATGTTATCATAAACATTAATATACTCATTAATTCGTTCGTCGGAAAGGATTTAATATTTTGAATAAATTTCATATATTATAATTTTTGTAATCTAATTATATCATGATCAATAAAGTTAATGTAGTTATAACTTTGGTCATTTTAAATAGACTAATCTATGGTTTTTCACTCATTTTAAACATGTCAAAAATATTAACATTTTTCAATCACTTTAATCTATATTTAACCCATCTATAGTTGAAATTACTAAACCTTATGGTACAAGAAGATTGAAACGACAATGGCCTTTAGACTTAATCTTAGATTAGGTCTAATATAATATTATTATAGTAATTGTTAAACTAAGAAGATCTCATTGGAGCTATTCTTAGGCATTGCTCTTAAGCATTGTCATTTTAGCTCAAAGGAATCTATGTATTTCTGATTGCTAAATAAAACGAGTTAAAAAAAAACTTTATATTATTATTAACCCCTTAACTTACAATTTAGATTCCAAAATGTCGGCCCAAAGTTGTTCAAACTGGCGCGGCGTTGTGACTATTTTCTCTCATAGGTATATCACAAAAATAAATATATTTTGTGTTTTATAGTTTCGTATAAAAAAATATTTTATAACTTGCATTCACCATGCCCGAAATGCGAAGGATTTGCTTCTTTCCCGAATATCGTACATGGGCTATGCCCGTAATATTCACTTTTGGCCTTGCAATCGCTCGCGGGCTCTGCTCGTCATTTTAAGTTAAGGGGTTAAAGTCTTAATTAGTTCATTTTAATTAATATACTTTGAATATTGGTCAGTTTTACTTAACTATAACTTATAAAAAAAACTACTTAACTATAACTTATAAAAAAAATTACTTAACTATAACTTATAAAAAAAATTAAGTTCTCAGTCTCGTGATATTTTCTTCTTTTGCGCAAGAATATCTTCTTCATTATTAATATATCTCATTTTTATGCGCGTAATTATTACACTAAATACATTAATATTCCTACCATATTGACGCAACCATCTCCTACCTTACTTTACACTACCCTACCTTAACTTTACACTACCTTAACCTAATACTTACCTACGTTAAGAACTAATACTATTACTTTGCTTACCTTTACCACGTCTCGAACCTGCTACCCTCTTCTCTCCAGCGACTCCCACCTCCTAACGCGCAACGCCACGACGATCACATTATTAAACTGTTACACGTAGCTGATATTGTATATTTTAAACGAAAAAAAACTAACAGTCATATGGCCAAAAAAAAGTTCGATTCGTATGGCCTGTGTTGGCGTAGTTGGTAAAGTGATGACTCCGTATCTAAAAGGTACCGAGTTCGAATCATACCTCAGGACAAAAAAAGAGTATTGTTCACGTTGTGGTATTTATTAGTGTTGAATAACACAAAATTATATTTAGATATCAAACTAACAGTCATGAGGCCGAAAGAAAGCGTGAAGGACGTGGCCTGTGCTGGCGTAATTGGTAGAGTGATGGATTCGTACCCAAAGAG